GTGTTTGGTTGGTGGTGGAATGCTGTGCAAAAAAAGTATTTGCTTCTTTGTGTAGTTCTTCTGTTTCTGGCTTGTTTGTCACACAGACGCATCGGTGGGTTTCCCAGCAAGTGTCTGCTTCAGGCCAGACCAGAAGAAAAGATTTCAGAGTTTGTGTCCAGTTTTTTACATTAACGGACTTATCAGAGCAACGATACATCAAAATTTTGTTTTCACGATAAAATGTAAACAATACGATAAATGCCCACCCCGTCAAGTTGAGGTTTAAGACAATGTCCTGATGAAGGACAGAATGATCCATCACTTGAAAATAGAAAAGCATATGGCACAACTAAAAAATAAAAATAAAAAATACAGGGAACTCAATAAACTTTAAAGGCTGCCCAAGAAAGGGCGCAGCTTCACCCTCAAGCTATTGCTTTTGGTAATAGAATACTTTTGCAATCGCACAGTGCAGGGGTGAGAGAGTTGCTGCCGGTTTGTTCGATAAGAAACTTCCACTTCCCTTGAATACTAATGCTCGCATCAATAAGCTGAAAGAGCGAGGAGGTGCAGTCAGAGATACTGTCAGAGGCAGCAGTCAGTCCTGCACAGCAGCACTGCTGATGGAGACCAGACTGGGAAAATCCCCTCAGAATCACAACTCTCCTTAACAAGGAACCCAGACCCCACAGATTTATAAAAAGCAAAGCAGCATTTTGTGTGTGTGTGTGTGTGTGTGTGTGTGTGTGTGTGTGTGTGTGTGTGTGTGTGTGTGTGTGTGTGTGTGTGTGTGAAATCCATGAAAAGAAGAAACAAAGCGGAGGAGGTACAGCAGAGAAAATTTCTCCCTGTGCATGTCCCACTGCGTCACACTCTCCCTCACTGTGACTCACTCTCACACCCAGCCTCCACGCCCAGCTATCGATCTGCCCTGACCCTCTTTATCCTCTGTGACGTCCTGCTCCCACTTCAGGCCCTTGATCCTGAAAACTTTTTTTTTTTCAAGCCCTTTTCTTTCTTTTTTTTTTTTTTAACTTTCAGTCTTTGTCATCCCACCCTGGCCTCCTGTTCCCGGCCTCACTCCTAGGGAACGCCCTGGGAGTTCTTATGCAACCCCAGCCCAGGTTGAGGAGGGGGAAACAGCCCTGCAATGCAGCAGAGTAATAAAATAAACAGCAGCGTGCGAGGGCGGCAGCCCAGTCAAAGCACTGCAACCGTGACAGGTGCTGTTTGCTGTGCACTGGTTGCTGCTGCAAAGCCATCTTTAAAGAGCTTTTATTCACATAAGGTTCTTCGGGTTTTTTTTTTTTTTTAATGTTTATTTGTTTTTCCTCATTTTTGCCTGTACAGAAAAAAAACTTTCTTTCATATATTAAAGCTACTCCATCACCTTGTTTGTCTTCATTAAAACACACGCATGCAGTTATTTCATATCCAGATTCAGGTTTTCACATGCTTACCCCGGACAGACCCTGTCTGATGCGGAAATGCATCAATGTTTACATTAGCTATGCAGAAATACCACGTGACTGCATTTCCTGCAGCGCATTTGTGACAACCTTTATCCGCGCACGCCGTGTGCGCGCGCATTCACGTTCCCTGTTGCCAGGTTTTCCAGACGCAGCAGAGAGCGCTCAAATCCGGTAGAAGTAACGAGGGACACTTCCGGTTTGTGCCCCCCAAAAATAAAAGCTTTGAAAACAGATTCAGGTTTTTTTTGCTTAGTTGTAGTGCGGGAAATGCCAAATATGTTCTTGAGTCATAAACTATTCTTAAATAATAAACTAGTTAATATTTTTTTTTTAAATTATCATTCATTTATTTATATCTAACAAATATACAAATGTTATTGACTTATTTATTCAATTGTGACAGAAATGGACAAAATGAATAATTGTAATAATGTAACTTCTCATTTTATATATATATATATTTTATTATCGGTTCAGATTCGTTTTTATAACATTTTTCGGAACCTTTGCTTCTCCACATATTCAGACTGTTTTGTATGTATACTCATTATACATTATTATAGTTTATCTCTTATAGGAGACTTTATCACAAGTGGCTGGGGAGAGGGGGGCCTCTCAAGCTGGTACCCCGCGATCCAACCCCAGATAAGCGGAAGAAGATGGATGGATGGATGGATGCTTTCTTTTAAAAAATAAGTACTATATATTTTCCTCAAAATAATTTTTTTATATTTACAAAATGTTTGCCTTATCCCATCCATTCATCCATTTTCTGAGCACCTTTCCCCCTAACGGGGTCGGGAGGTGCTGGTGCCCATCTCCAGCTGCGTTCCGGGCGAGAGGCAGGCTTCACCCTGGACAGGTCGCCAGTCTGTCGCAGGGCGTTTGCCTTATCCATAATAGCGTTTTTGTTTGCCTTCCTCCTCAAACAGCGGGTCATAAATAAAAGTAAAACGAACTGTTTATCTTATAGACTGATATGGCTGACTTTTTTATTTAATTAATGTTTGACTACTAACATGTATTATCTGTTAAGGATTACTCCAAAATATTAATTGCAGATTCTAACATTTTCATGTCATTTAATACAATTGATCAAAAGTTTAGTAATGTCGATGAAGAAATATAAAGAGTTTAAATTGTAAAGATTATGCACCACACATACAAAGAGCCTTCCTTTCCATAGATTTGGCGGTCCACCCTGGTTAAGTCCTGGATTACTGCGACCTCATATAATGTGCTGGATTTGATCCAGCTGGCTGAAGATTTGAGGACTTAAATGGGTTAATTGAAGCATTTCTGACTTTTAAAAGAGACTTGCAATAAGCTAATGGGGGATCTGTCCGGCTTGCTCTTTTGCACAAAGAAAACGCCTCGTCAGAGGGGCTTTTATTTTGAAAGCTCATGCCTCGAATATCCGGTTTTGGCTCCGATAACTGTCCGGGAAATTAACAGAAAACCTCCCCGACCACTGTACCACTGCAGCATGTTCTTGTTGGCTGTTACTATCTGAAAACTCACCGCAGAGGACCGAGTGAGCCTAACAATCGATGCCTTCAGCCTGAAGTCCTCACAACGCCTCTAGTTTAAGGTAAACCTCATTACACGTGAAGCCGCGCCGGCGCACAGCGCCATGTATCCCGAAACATCGAAACTTTGAGCAACTTCTGTGGACTCTGGCTAGCATGAGCTAAGCACAGGCCACTGCGAAACACCCAGTCAGTGGGTGAAGATGGTATTTGGCCAACGTGTCCGTCACGGGAGGAGTGGTTGGACTGTAAAAGGTCTAATTACGCGGGGCGTAGTTGTCTTTTGTTAGCTCCCCCGACATGCTAGTTGACAATAGCTTAACGCCATCGATGAGAGTGGCTCCTTCATCTCAACTGCCAGAGCGATGGCCACAAAACCAGCTAAGCGATGGCCACAAAACCAGCTAAGCAAGAAAGTGAAGAAAAACAAGAATTGAGCTTGCCTTGATTTGGTATTTGGTTTTAGCAGTGGGTGAAGTGGCAACCAGAGTTTGGTCTTCTAATGGAGGAACAATAGATGGCATTAGAGGTTAACAGTAGGTGTGAAGAGACAGGAACAGCAGAAAGAAATCCAGGTTTTTAACTGGATCATTACACACATCTACTTCTAAATAAAATACAGTTTGAAGAAGTAGAGTAAGTTCGAGAGTGAATTGATTTAATTGACACCTAAAGTGGTGTCACTGCATAAAGTGCTCTGTTTATTGGTTTGATTTATTAAAGCAAATAATCTGATGGAGGGAATTGATGTCGTAGAGAAATTGCCTGTTCAAAGACAAAGGATTTTTATGCATCTATAGATCACAATTGTCCATACAGGTTACAATGCAGTGTGTAGTTCTTTATTCAGGTTTCAGTGACATAATCAAATTAATCTATGGTTAATTAGTAATACGTTTTGAAAGAACACTCTCCAGTCAAGATTTGTAGACTTTCTATGACAAACTTGAAAACACAAATAATTGAAAAAAGTCAATTATTTGAATTTCTTTCTTAGACAGGAACCCATTTCCTCCATTATTATTATTATTATTATTATTATTATTATTATTATTATTATTATTATTATCATCGTCACAGTTCTTTGATGATGTGTTTTTAAATACTAGTTGTGTTTTTAAATACTACATGTCCTATATTAAATCTTATAAATCTGATCAATGGGTCGTAAAAGGAGACAGTTCAAGGCCCTTTTTTTATATTGTAAAACAAATAAATAAATAAAACTTCCTTCTAATCAGAAACATTTTTGTTAATAGCTACCAACAAACTCCAAACACCTTTTTTTCCATGTAAACAGCTAAAAAAAATAGTTCGTTGATATTAAAATCCTGGTGTGTTTTTAGTACAGAACAAGACATCAAAAGCTATTTTGAAATATCAAAAAATAAAATTAATAAATCCCTTATTTGTCTTTACAATTTCCCTATATTACAAAGCACTTGTCATCTGTGTGTTTGGTCTTAAAGGGTTTGTGTTCCAGTCTATACTAGGAGGTACATTCCTCTCTCGCAGTCTTTAAACATAACCTCTCATCTTGTTTCCTACACACAGCCAGACATAATACATCCCTTCATAATACATCAATTCACTCTCGAACTTACTCTACTTCTTTAAACTGCACAGGTACAGACTCTGTTCCTTCAGGATAGATGAGAAACCCCAACAGAACAATACCTGCTGTATTGTGACTCTGCAGGTAGTGTTAACTTTGGATCAAGGCTGAAGTTGGGAATGTTTTGAGAACTCCCATTCTGGTCTTGGGAGAGTTAGTGATGCAGCACTTGCAGCTGTAAATTGATTTTCCTCGAGAATAATTAAAATTGGACTGAAATCTGTACGATTTTTGCTGAAATTGTATTGGGTCAATATCGGTATCGACCAATGCTGAAAAAGGCAATTTCAGCATCGTATTGGAACTGGAAAAAGTTGCATCACTTCTAATTTCAAGTAATATTTCAGTTGTGCCAACACATTTCCTGTTACTGGAAATGAAATAATATTTTGGAGTCCTGGTATTCAGGGTTAAGATGAGGGTGATGGCACAGAGAACTTGAGGCCCACCTCAAATTTCTTGGTTGAAAGACCAATAATCTCACTCTGCCAGGGTTACAAAGAATTTGTACCGCTTCCAAAAGTCTGTAGCGGTGTGAAAAGATGCAAAGTTTAAAAAAAAAGAAGAATATAAAACAGCTTGGATGAGGTGCAGTAAGTTGAAAAACGATTGTAGGTTTCCTAGTAATGCTGTGGAAAATGCCAGAACACTGATGGGTGCACAGTTCATGGCCACTGGCTTTGTTTGCCTTTTTACTTCATCGGAGTAGCTTGACATGGAAGCGACTCTTTCATGTACTTTGATATCACAGTAACTACTTTTTCAAGGGGGAGTTAGACCAGGATGTCGCTACCGTATCAACAGTTTGCTCAGCTTCGTTTGCAGAGCTGATGGCGTTCCCTCCTGTCACACATGGAGTGACACGTCATCAGCTGTTATCTGCCTAACAAGTCCAACATGTTTTTGGAGGATATGAATCGCGTCATTTTCTCTTGGGTCTATTTTGCTCATTTGGAATAAGAATGGTGTAATGTAAAATAATTACTGCCTATGGAGTTGGATTAACAAACAACCCAAAATCTAAGGGTTTAATTTAAATGAATGAAAGAGGAGGGACTGTTCTTTTCCACTTTCCTGTCTGCCTGGAAAGCGTGCTGTCTTCCTCGTGCTCGTCCAATCACGAGCCACGGCTCGAGTCGTTGGCCCACCTTCACCACACTCCCCCTCCGTCTCCATGTCTCTGTCACCAAGCCTTTCTCCCTTTCTTTCTCCTCATGTGTTTACTGGTTGGTGCATGCTCTCCCTCTGCTGCTTAATGTTGGGATTAAAAGAAGAAACGGAGGATTGACTAGAAACAAAGAAACCTAGAGGGGCTTTTTAGCTCCTAATCAGCACATGTGGAAGATGGAAAAGCAGCCCGGTGCTTTGAACAGAAACCCTCATGTGAGTCAGACAGCCTCTTTTTTTTCTTCTTCTTCTTTTACCCGTTGGTGGTTCCTTTTTTCATTTTTATTTTTTTTCATGTTTCAATTCTTTTTTAAGCTCAATCACTCTCACTTTTGCCCGTTTGTGTGTTTGTATCGGTGGTGTGTACGTCTGCTCCGGCTGCTGTGTCATCTCTTGCTTCCTGCCTGCATCCCTGCCCCCTTGTCACACCGTCGGCTGCTGATGTCGTCTTGTGATGCTCGAGCGGAAGCCGCTGCGTTTCTGAATCTCATTCCGGTCGATCAGGCGATGTGTGACACCTATGTGCCAACATTATTTCTTTCTTTATTTAGCATTGTTAGCCATGCAACACCTAGCTTATTGGTAGAAATTGACCTGAACTGATTCAAGTGCTAAGATGCTTCAGAAGCCAGTCTAAATGGTTCTGAGGGAGAAGCTGATTCTCGACTGGTTCCAAAAAAAGAATCGCACATGGACTTTTTTTTTTCCACAACCAGGAAGCCACGCCGAGTTATTTTTATTTCAGCGGTGCGAGTTTCACTTAAAAAAAGTTTCCTATTAATCACAGCGTTTGTCTTGTTAGCGCAACAGAAATATTCCGTAGTAGTACAAAGTGTAAAATGTGTTTTATGCAACTGTCTCAGTATTTGTAGATGACACTGCACACGGATGATGTTACGCATAATTTCATGTAATATCAACAAACAGCAGCTGGTAATGCTTTAAAATGCTGATGTTTCAGAATTGGTTCCAAACCGCAATCATGAATGAAAATGAAACCACGTCAGTCAGGATTAACAAGGTGACCAGGGATATTATCATAAAGATCAGGGAACATGACTGACTTCACGTCCGCGTTGGAGGCTCACGTTTTTTTTTTCCCTTTTCTTTTGATCTTCAAATCTTAAACTAAATGATGCACAAAAGTAGAATTCTTTTTAAAGCAGTAGTTTAGATTTAGCCAATGTGTAATTTTACGAAAGCAGGTGATTTAGTTCTTTGATATTTTATGTACACAGGTGGGGGGGGGGGAACATACTTGTGAGTTTGACTTGTGCGTCCAGATGCGAACCTGTTCAGCGACTTCTGAACTCTGAGGTTCAAGAATGAAAACAGTCCTTCGTGTTTCAAAGTAAATAATTATGTAATCACGGTGACCTCAGAGCAGCGAAAATGCCTCGAAGACACTGCTCCGTTTCTCACAGAACGACCCGAACGAGAGCGACAGCTGAAACTGCTACAACAATTCAGATGTTGCAATTGTTTTGTGTGCAGAAATGTCAGACATGAATAATTTTGCCCTGGGGAGTTATTTAATTGACTTGCAATGTTGAAATTTCCTTAGTTAGGATTTCTGGTGACAGAGCTGCTCCTTAAATCAGCAGGGCTTTTTTCACAAGGCACATTTTAATCTAATTAAATGAAAAGTTGTTTATTTAGGTGGCTTTTACATGTTCATATAAGTTAGTTTTAAAACAGTCCAGGAACGTGAACTATGTGTAAATGTGATTTGCCGTATATTATGGATTCACAATATACCGTAAAATATGTCCTATGTAGAACTGCTTGGGCATCAATATATGTGAGTTAATTCTGAAAATGTATTGATAAATATCTTTTCATATTTTTTCTTTAAAGCAGTAGGAAATGATTTAGGAGGATATTGATTGGTTCTGATAAAATCGATAATTTAAAGTCATCTTTGAAATATTTATTCTTACTTATGCCTTAGTATTTCAATTATCTAAACAAATAATTCTGTACCTAAACCATAACATACAAGGTTATGAATGGATTTTTATTCATGGGACAGTGTACCATGTACATTATTACCCGCTAATGGAGAGATGTGCTGTACCAGATTATAGCTACAAATGCTACTTTCCGCCTGCAGTCCCCATTAAAAATAACTGTTTCCACACAATCACAGGAAATACTTTGTATTGCACGCCGTTTCCATTTATTCTGGTTTGAAAGTGGGATGCACCAATTTGAAAATTTGGGCCCAAATTGATACTGCTGCTTTGGCTGATGAGCAGCATTCTATACAGGGCTGCAACTCACAAATATTATTCTGTTTTGATGATTAAGTTGGTAAAAAATTGGCTGATTTTTCAGATTTATCATTTCAGCCTTTTTTTATTTAATTTGATATACATTAAAAGATGTTCCTTTTTTAATTAAATAAATTTATTTTCTAAAATGCAGTAACAGATCATGTATGGCATTGGATGCCTCTGCAGCTAAAAATGCTTCTAATACACCATGTGAAAAGCTCAGCTTTTTCTGCTTGCCTTAGCTTCAATACAGTGTAGGACTTATGTTTTGATTAACCATTTAATAATTGGACAGCTAATGGTGCTTTTTAAAATTATTACAAAATTTGAACAGGGCAAAGCTAATGCCACGGCACTTTTGGAGCACAGGATATTTACAAAGATTATTTTCTATCTTAAATCCAAAATTTACATCAATTTTTGCAGTTTTGGCATTTAGGATGTTGTTCTATCTGCAAAAGGCCTTTAGTGTTTTTTTGAGTCTGTATACTCCCATTAATGCAAGATTTATTTCTAAATTAGTTGACAATTATATCAGTAATCTGTCAATCACAATTGTTTCAGTCCAAAATTTGGTGACAGTCAAAATCAGAATTGGTCGGTAATTGGCCAAAAAAACTGCAATCGATGCCCCTTACCAAGAACAGAAAATATTTATCATCTTCTATTATCAACGCAGGTATGAAACGTTCCAATGGATGAGAGGCAAAGCATGGTTGGTCTAAAGTGGCACGATGTGACATAATAAACACAAAAAAAATGTCTGCTTTGTCCAAAAGCACAAAGAGATATGCGTGCTTACGGTGATAGGTGAGTGAGTTTTGCTAAGAACCGGTTCTGTGTGTTTTGACTGCTGAAGTCTCAGGAAAGGCCCAGAAAAGTAGAGCTGGATTTCAGAGCAGGATCAAATACCAAATCTGAAAGCCCTATTCATTGAAGAACTCAGGGCTGGAAGATGACCAATTTAACTCTTGTGACCAGGTACAAGGTTCTTAAGAACACTTTTGTTTTTCAGCAGCACAACTGAAACACTATTGTTTTTATTATTTTTTTATTTGTTTATTTTTTTGCCTCTTCAAATTGTTTTCCTATACAAAATCTAAAAAATCCACCAGTGGGAGCATCAAGAGTATTAAGAGACTTTGCATGATGTGACTCACTGGCTGTGGAGAAACAAACCTGTTAACTGTTTTTTCTGACATGAAAGAGTCGTGGAACGGCTCTGAGATCTGCCAGAGATTAACGCAAATGACAACAGTAGAAAAAAATAAATCTCTCAGGCTTACCTTGAAAAAACAAAACACAAAAGCAATGATGATCCAAAGAAACCTTTTCATTTGATGCTTTGCACTGGCTTATCACTGTTTCCATATGTTAAATTCTGAAAAGACTTCTGAGTCGGATCAGTTCTAAAAAAAAAAAAAACTACAATTAAGGTTTGCTTAACCAGTTAAGTGGCGATGCATCATTAGATAAATATGATACACATGAGCATTGAAAATTAGCCATGGCTGTAAGTCCTAATGTATACAACAAGTAAAACATTTATCTGATGGGTTTAACTTTAAATAAATTAATCAATCAATCACCTCCTGATCAGGCTTTCCCTGCCCACTACCAATTTCTGGTTTTCTTTTGACTCTGAAGTTAGAGAAAGACATTTTGTTCTTTTTTAATCATTTATTTATTGGATAGATTGAGAGGAATTTAAATCCAGCAGAAAATAGAGGAATTATAATATCATCCTCAAAGTATATGCTCATCAGCTGTATTGGATTCTTATTAAACTGTGACAAGTGTATTAATTACTTTGTTTCCATCCATTGATTGAGTAGCAAAAAAACTTTTTTTTGTATTTGACTGGCCTTTTCAGGAAAAAAATTGGCAATTTTCATAACTCTGGCTGATTAATTGGTAGATTTCTAACAGTGAAAAAGCTGTTCAGACACCAAAGAAAGTTTAAAATTTCTGAGTTCAGATGAATCTCACATTTTACTCTAACAAGACGTCAGAATATCCTGGTTTGGCCTGCTGTTGGCCTGTTTACATTATTAGCATTATGTGTAATTTTCCTTTTTTGAGTAAGACCAAAAAAGGACACACCTTTTTGTGTCTGACACACCTATCCAAATACATGAACATATTCATGTGACTGAGCATGAACGTTTGTCACACCGGCATTCATGACTAGTTCATAACATTAGCTATTAATACGTGCAAACTGGTTCTCCCAGCCAGACCGCATTCAAGATTCACCTGTCAACATTTGAAATTGTGAGGTGGAATAAAAGTACTAGCTATAAGAAACATTCGTATATCTCTGAAAAAGTTAATGTATATATATTTTTATTTAGTGAAATTGAGCCTTGAGCAGACGATAAAGCTTCTTAGCATGTTTCATGTATGTGTCAATAGCTCTTATAGTGCAGTTTTGTTGTATTTTCATGCTTCAGACTCTGAATACATGGAAGGCTCAGGTGAGTATGATCCTGTGCTTGGACCTTGCAAGGTCTACAATGATTAACCTGCTTTAGCGGAAATCCCAACCTGGAGGATCATCATCTAATCTTGTGGGCTTTGTCTAGGAGCTGTACTATCTGAGAATGCAAAGAACCAAAGAGAAGATGGAGCGGGAGAAGACTGAAGAGAACATGTACCAGGTAGGACGCTTCTGCCTAACTGGATAAAGGGAGTTGGCTAGTTGTGGCAAATGCAAAAATACCCCTTGTATTTTCTGCATTTTTTTCACATTAAATTTAAAAAACAATGTATTTTCATTGGATTTTAAAAAGCGGTGCACCGATTTATCGGCCAGCCAAATTATCTGTGCCGATTTTCTCAATTTTGGGAGATTGGTGATCGGCCGATTTTTAGATATGAAGCCGATCTTATCCACCAATCTTATCTAGTTTGGCAAAGGTCTAAGAATCATCCACTGTCCTCTTTTGTTCTCCGGTGAGAAAGGTTTGACTGAAAAGACCGGCCCACCGAGTAATGTCTGCACGTTTACTATTAACAATAGTGACCCCACTGTTGACAACTCAATGACCTTCTTGCTATATTCAGCAACATTTCAGCCAAAAAATTTTAATTGGCCAAAATCAGAATCAGCAGGTTAAGCTTTTTAAAAGATCGATGATCGGCTAGAAAACTGCAATCGGTGAAGCCCTAATTTTTAATGGTAGGTCTATGCAAGATTACACAAAATGGAGGGCTGGAGGGAAATACGCATGATTATTGTGGTTTCCCACAAATAATGATCTGAAAAGTGTGCTATGCGTTCATAGTCAGCCCTCTGACTGAGTGAACTCACACGTTCACTTCATGTCCATACTTTGACTAGGGGTTTTCTTCTGCGATTAACTAGTTCTGGACAATAAATTGGTTTTCCCCATTTGTCAAGTTTTCTGTTTTTGAGGATTGAATTTTTGCCAGAAAACCCAGAATATTGTTTGGTAACTTTCTTTGTATATATTGTGTCTATACAATATATACAATAATTTGAGCAGGAAGGTTTTTTACCTTACACATTTGTTTGGATTGTTTCAATGTAATGAACAGTTATTATAGATGCTGAAGGAAAAGTCGTTTTATATTTTATATTATAACAGTCCTGAAATAGTTTTTTTTTTTTTTTTTGTTAAATTAATGTTTAGTTCTCTGACCAGTCAGGTTTATATGGTGTGTGAAATAGACATTTCAAAACATAACATTTTGTTATGTTGTAGTTTACCTGGAGTACTATTATGACACATTAACAGTGATAAATTATAAAAAATAGTGCATTGAAATTGTCTTTTTTTTAGTTCACTTGTAATGTTTTTATCTCCAACGTGCTGCCGGAAAAGTTTGAAAAATTGCCTTGAAAATGCTTAAAGTGCTTGAATTTTACTGTGCGAAAAGTCTAAGAACCCTGTAAGTAAGAAGTAATGGTGGCTCTGATTGGCTGTCATTTTTTCTGCAGAACAAGAGGAGACTGAAAGTGTGTGTGGCAACATGCAACAGAGCCGACTACTCCAAGTTGGCTCCCATCATGTTTGGGCTGAAATCTCACCCTGAAGAGTTTGATCTGGAAGTCGTGGTTCTTGGTTCCCACCTCATCGACGATTACGGGTGAGAACCTGGAACAACTTTCCATCCGTTCTTCATGGTCGTCGAGGTTTAAACGTTCTCCGCCGTCTCCCTAGAAACACGTTCCGTATGATAGAGCAGGATGACTTCGACATCGGCTCCAAACTCCACACCATCGTGCGAGGAGAAGACGAAGCGGCCATGGTGGAGAGCGTCGGGCTGGCCCTGGTGAAGCTCCCCGACGTCCTGCAGAGGCTCCGCCCCGACATCCTGGTCGTCCACGGCGACCGTTTTGACGCACTCGCTCTGGCAACTGCTGCCGCATTGATGAATATTCGGATACTTCATTTGGAGGGAGGCGAGGTAAGAGGACGCTATATCTTCTGCTTTAATTTTATTATGTTTATTCTGAAAATTAAAAACTGTATTTTCTTTTCTATCTCCTTCAACCCCTCTACAGGTTAGTGGTACTATCGACGACTCAATCCGACACGCGATCAGTAAGCTGGCGCATTATCATGCCTGCTGCACGCGCATGGCAGAGCAGCACCTCATCGCCATGTGTGAGGACCACTCGCGCATCCTGCTGGCCGGATGCCCCTCATACGACAAGCTGCTGTCCACTTACCACCGGGACGACTACATGGATATCATCAAAAGCTGGCTAGGTGTGCACAGATTAATTTGATCCAATCAAATAATGTATATTCAGTTTCTCTATCTTTTTTTAATGTATTTGCAAAATGCATTTTATTTTTTTATGTTGAAGCCCTCTCGTCTTGCATAGATTTCTTTGTTTTTTTTTTTATTTTTATGAAAGGTTAGGTTAGGTTAACATAATGCTAGTTACAAAGGATTCTGTAGGTGTGGCCACAGTAGTCAAAACACAGCAGAAATTCAAGGAGATCAAACTGTTTGACTATAACAATGAAGAAAAAAGCATGACAAACGTGGCAGAGCATGTTCTTTATTGTGGGAATTAGTCTGTTTTCCCAAACCAGGATAAGGATCAAGAGCATCCGACTACGTTTGTCATACTTTAACAAGACGCTAAAAGCCTACGGCTCAAAGCAAACATGCAGGCTTCCCAATAAAGGCCATAAAACCGGTTAAAGTTTAAACTCGTCGCAGAACATTTTATAGAAGGGTTATAAAGTTGAGGGTATAAAGCTAAGATTGAGATTTGTCAAAGCGGGGGAAAAAACCCTGTTTGTCAGATTACCTCAGAGGTTTATGGTTTCGCATTAAATAATATATATTGTGCAAGATTGAATACTGAAGAAATTTGATGTTTTCTGATGGCTTTGCAGGTGACAAAGTGAAGGAAAATGACTACATTGTGGCGCTGCAGCACCCCGTCACCACAGACATCCAGCACTCCATTAAAATCTATGGACTGATGCTGGACGCACTGATCTCCTTCAACAAGAGGACGCTCATCCTCTTCCCTAATATTGATGCCGGTTAGTTACATATGTCTTACTATGAATTATATATTAGAATATAATCAAAAAGTTTATTCATTGTAAGCACATTTTGATTGATTAATTATACAAGGATGTATATTTTAAATGGTTAGTTTTGTTAATTTAATTACCGTGAATAAAAATGCACAAATTAAATTTTTTGGGAAAATTACAATATTGCATGAAATCAATGAAAAATTATGTTTTACTTAAGTGGTATGTCAAGTTAGGCTGCACTGCAAAAACATTAAATGTTACTAAGTATTTTTGGTCTAGTTTTGACTGCAAATATCTCAATACACTTGAAATAAGGCAAAACTAATTTACAAGTAACTTTTCAGCAAGAGTTTGTTGAACCCAAATGATGCGTTTCGATTCATCCATGAATGCAGCTAGCTGATCGGAAGCGTGTCGCTGTGACTGAAGCAAATCCGTCTCACCTAAACAGGAAGTAAGGAGATGGTGCGCGTCATGCGAAAGAAGGGCATCGAGCAGCACCCCAACTTTCGGGCAGTGAAGCACATTCCCTTTGAGCAGTTCATCCAGCTCTTGTCGCACGCCGGCTGCATGATCGGAAACAGCAGCTGTGGCGTTCGGGAGGCCGGGGCCTTTGGCACGCCGGTCATCAACCTGGGAACAAGGCAAACGGGCAGAGAAACGGGTAGGTTCGCTAGCATTAGTTAACTATACATATCTTGTTTGGTTTCTTTTGGGAGGAGGTTGCAGAATAATTAAACAGTCAAAAGGATTTGAGGAATATGATCTCAAGTTGCTAGTTATGAAATATGTCAGAATTATTTTGCTCTTTGGCCAGAATGTATGTAAAATCGTCTTTCTTTATACAGGCAGCTTGTCGATTAATAATGAAGAGGAAGGTAAAAGAAATTGTAGCATTAATATAATCATTTTGATAATATTAAATGTAATAAGAACAATATCATGTAGTAATTACTTGCCTGTAATATTTCTAAGCCAAAAACAATCTGCTAATAAATTCTGCCACATAATATCGATACTAAACTGCTTCTGTAGTGTTGTTGGCGCTAAAATTTAGATTTTTGTGTATAGCTTTGTTTAAAAAGTTGGGGAGGAGGGGATTTTTTTTTTCCAAAGGTTGCTTGTCACAAAAGCCAAAAGATCCCATTTATTTCAAAATGCTAAAGTAGGTTTACTGAGAATCCACACATCTGATAAATATATTCTGCACTAGAATATTTTGGGGAGTTTAGGAGGTTTTTAATGCCTGAATGATTCATGAGGTCGCATTAAGTGATTTAAAAAAAAAAAACAAAAGTTTGATGATGGTTAAGATATGGACAAAGTAAAGGATGAAAAAGGAGCCAAACCATAGAAGAACTATTACTTAGTAATAGTTCTTCATGCTTATGAGACAGTCTGGTTCCTTGGAAGCAGAGTGTTAAAACATGAGTTCCACAAGTTTCCAACACACCCATATTTTCCACATTATGTAACGCATTAGCAAATGCTTTTTCCATGTTTGTCAACCTAGCAAAGGCTTGACGTTAACATGTATTTATTTTTTAAGAGAACACCTCACTCACAAAGAGACAAGTTATGTTACCTTACTTTACTAATCAACCCCTCCATGTTTTGTCTTTTTAAGCCTGAGGTTACCTTTAAAGCTGCAACAACATTTCTGTCTTTCAGGTGAAAACGTTTTACATGTCAGAGACGCCGACACCCATAATAAGATCTACCACGCTTTGGAGCTTCAGTTTGGAAAGCGATATCCAGGGTAGGTACTTCCTGAGTTTCCCACCGGATTGATGGGCTCCATTTGACTGAATTTTGGGACCTTTCTGCCCTTTAAAAAAAAATAGATTCCAGTTTTAAGTTAAAACAAAGATGTTAACATTGATTAAGTAAGCTGGAATCCAGCAAAATAAATGGCGCATCTTTTTACAGGGAGACACTGTGATAGCCTTACGTTTTGCCACAGTTGAGAAAATCTAGTGTGACCTTCGCTAGCGGGGTTTGAAAATTCAGTTCACAGAATTTTTTTTAAAAAGTGAAATATTTACACAGTTTAGCAACTTGTAAAAAAATTTATCTTCGAAACAATCATAGTCCCTGTGTGTCATTTAAGAAATGATACACATAAACATGTGTAACTACAGTTTGTAGTTATACGAGTGATTTGATCAAAAAAGTACGTTTTTAAGAAACGTAATGACATTAACATTTATTTACAGCTCTAAAATCTACGGTGACGGCAATGCAGTGCCCCGGATTCTGAAGTTTCTGAGTAGCATCGACCTGGAAGAGCCGCTCCAGAAGACCTTCTGCTTTCCTCCGGTGAAAGACACCATCTCCCAGGACATCGATCACATCCTGGAAACACAGAGCGCTCTGGCTGTCGACCTGGGCGGCACCAACCTGAGGGTGGCCATCGTCTGTATGCAGGTACGGCTAAGAGACGTTGCCTAAAGAGACCGATGACGCTCACAAATCTAATCAAAAAGTTAATTTATTTCAAAAGTGCATTGTTGTGAGAATAACTGCTGCTGTTCAGAGTGCTATAGCAAAGCATGTTCCTGGAAAGTTGCATGGAAGGAAAAACTGTGGTGGGAAAAGACTGCACCTGTATTATTATTTTCACACAGTTGTTTCTCCAGTTTTATTAAGGTAGAGCTTGGAACTTCATGGAGAGAAAAAATTTGTGAACTTAGATCTGCGATATGGACTGAAAGTTTAGTCATGATTTTATGGTACAACAGTGAAAACAATTAAAATGATTGGAACTCTTCATAACATGTTTTAAGGCCTTGAGCAAATGTTAAATGAAAATATTTATTATAAGAAATTTATTGCGATCAGTGATAAACAATTTACACAACATGTAGATTTATTACCTTTCTGAATCTTTAACTGTATATTGTGAAAACAAAACTGTCGGTTCAGTAATTCCCATTCTTTTTCCTTTCTGTCTTTGTCCAGGGCAACATAGTAAAGAAATACACCGAGCCTAATCCGAAAACATTCGAGGACAGGATGCGTTTGCTATTGAAGATGTGCAAAGATGCAGTGCAAGATGCTGTGCGCCTCAATTGCAGGATCCTGGGCGTTGGTATGGAAGCGTGCAGCTGCTCCCCCTCCTGGACTGAAAACGGCTGTGAAGCCGAGTTACAGGAATCTCAAACATTTTCTGTTTTGTTTTTTTTTTTTTGCACACATTAGGAATTTCTACTGGCGGCCGTGTGAACCCGCAGGAAGGCATCGTCCTTCACTCCACCAACCTGATCCAGGAGTGGTCCTCGGTGGACCTGAGGACCCCCATCTCGGACGCCTTGGGCCTGCCTGTTTGGGTCGACAACGACGGCAACTGCGCCGCGCTGGCCGAGAGGAAGTTTGGCCACGGCAAGGGGGTGGATAACTTCGTCACAGTCATCACAGGAACAGGTGAGAAAGCGAGTATCGCATAAAATCTCAAATTCATTTATATGTCTCATTTACTACTAACCCGCTGTTATGGCAGCAAAATTGAGAATCGTCACTAACACTACAAAAACACAAAACCTATCATGTAGTTTTGGTCTAGTTTCTAATGCAAATATCTTAGTACTGTTGAAATGAGACAAAACTGACCTACAAGTAACTTTTCAACAAAATATAGCTGAAAAGTTTTGAAAATTATTGACTTAAAAGTATGTTTTAAGTCAATGATACACTCAATAATAATCTGTGAGTGAAAGTAGTACTTTGTTTTAATCCGTATGAATGAATTTACTTCTAACAAGTTGCTATTTCTTGCTGAAAAGTTTCTTGTAAGTTAGTTTTGTCTTATTTCAAGTTTACGAAGATATTTGCACTGCAAACTAGACAAAAATTCATGTTAAGATTTTGTGCTTTTGCTGTTAACTGAGCATAATTGGCCAAAGTTGCTTTAAAAAACCTTATTAGAAGTGAGTTGGATGTTTATTTCTACATGTAATGACTTGATTTTTTTTTTCTGAAGATTTAAAATGTAAAAAAAAAAACATTATTCATCTTAAAAATCTGAAAATGCACATAATTATGTTGCATTTTTCAGTCTTTTGTTTGGTGTTATTTTAACCAAGGTTAACAGTTAAAACAATGATTTCTAATTAATCTCTGATGGCTTAAAAAATGTCCATATTTTTGCCTGCGTAGGGATTGGAGGAGGTATTATCCATAACTCCGAGCTGATCCATGGCAGCACCTTCTGCGCCGCTGAGCTGGGTCACATCAAGGTTTCTCTGGACGGCCCAGAGTGTTCCTGCGGCAGCCAGGGCTGCATCGAAGCCTTCGCGTCCGGAATGGCCCTGCAGAGGGAGGCCAAGCGATTGCACGACGGTGAGCACCATCATGTCTGCCATTTCATTTTCTCTTTGACAGCACTGCTCAAACGTTGTGACCTGTCGGCGCTTCTTTTCTCCAGAGGAGCTGCTGAAGATGGACGGGATGGATGTGAAGCTTGCCGAGCCGATCACCGCCGCCCACCTCATCAGCGCGGCCAAAAACGGCAACTCCAAGGCCAACGCCGTCCTGCACAAAGGTTGGCGCACAGACGCAGACACACAATCACATATGCAGAATTTTGGTTTAAACTGCACCCCATAAAAAATAAAAGGCCTATATTGACAAAAAAAAAAAAGTAAATATCAAGACCTCAGAAATTGTTTTTAAGTGTCTTATTTTAGAGACAAAATAAGACAGTTACACTATCTGAAGAACATTTCCAAGATTAAAGGACTAATGTCCCAGCAAGATCTAGAGGAACTCATCTATGTTTGTCTTCAGACGCATTGATCACTGCAACAGTTTATTCACAAGTCTGCCTAGAAAAATCAGTCAGCTGACCCAAAACGCTGCTGCTTTCTCACGTACAGCACACAAACTCTGCGTTTTGGTCGTCAAATTTTTTTTATTTTTTTTTCACTAGCGAATACCTTTGGTAATTTTCCCATCAGTGAGTTGAAGGTTTATTTTTGCTTTGAATGAAGAAGAAAACTGAAAAATTGGAAGGAAACCCAAGTGTGTCGTGTCTTCTTCCTGTCGCAGCGTCCCTGGCGCTCGGCGTAGGGATCGTCAACATCCTCCACATAGTCAACCCGTCCCTGGTGATTTTGTCCGGAGTCCTGGCGTCTTACTACCAGGCCCCGGTGCAGCAGGTCATGTCAGAGAAAGCGCTGTTCTCCGCCCAGAGCATCAAGGTCGTCAAGTCTGACCTGGACGAACCGGCCCTGCTCGGCGCTGCTAGCATGGTGTTGGACTACGCTACGAGGAGGACGTACTGAGAGAACTGGAAACGCACTTGGAACTTATTTTACCAGAATATATCAAGTCAACAGATAAATGGAGGAAGGGCTTGTAGAGCAGACTTGAATCTTGTATTGCAGTGAATCCTTATCCTAATTTTAACTGTATTTGGGAGAACAACGCTAGAAATCGATTGCTTGTTTACAGATATTAATGACTGTAGTTTTAAACTGGGGAGGGCTAGAGAGGTGATTAACTAGTTTAATGCACGATATTCCGTTTTTTTTTTTTTTTCACTAAATTATTATTGTTGTTGTCGTTTGCCATCTAAACTGTGAACCATTTTCCAGTCGCCTTTGTGTTTTGGTGAATTTAGGCAAACCTCATACTACATGTACCACAAAGTTTATCAATATGTCGTCTGCTGACATCACCAGCATGATGGTGGCTGAGCTGATTCCACTATAGTTCACATTATAAATTATTTGAAGTCGTTTATTTAATTTTACTTTCAATGGATCTGTGCTGGTTCTTTGCTCCATCAGTCCAAACAAAGATGCTTCGGAACTACCGAATCTTTTTCGGTATTTAAGCCAAATTTCTGTGTGCAATATGTCGGTGGTAATCTTACTGCTGTAGCGAATCTGTCTCTGTGGAAATTGAAGGGGAACAACAGAGAAAAGGGCATGTCTGCTAACTATTACTTAAGAGGATGTTGTTTTCTAGAGAATGAAAATACTCACTTAGCTTTTAGGGGGGGGGGTTTTGTGTTTTTTTTTACTTTTTCCCCCCAATATGCTCAGATTTATGTTCTCCCATCACAGGATTTTGTGAGTTCTACGAAACCCTTTCCAAACCCAAATAGCACCCTTAAAATTATCTGCAGACGTTCCCTTGTTAAAGAGCTGCAATTCCCAAAATATTTCCTAATTTTTAGAGGTAGTTTGCTTCAGTTTAAAGCTAGTAGTCCTTGCTGTAAGCTTAAAGTCAGTGGATCACTTGGACCTGATTGCTGTATGGTATTAAATCTTGACTTTAGTCTTGTTTTGACAAAGTGGACCTTATTTCTTTCACTGCAGAAAAAAACTTTGTTCTGATCAAATTTTATCATAATTTTGTTGTGTTTGAATGTTTCTGGTGCTATTTGGGCTGCATAATAAAAGTACTTGTGTGTTTTGGGTGGAAGAAGGAAATACTGGTATGTTCTAAACTGACATTCAAGTGGTAGGAAGTGGGCAAAGTCAAAGCTTTAATGACGCTCTTAAGCTTTGGGGGTCAGTTTTATTTTTTTTAACAAAACTCAGAAGTGACCAAAGTGTTGAGACATTCTGCTGCATGTTCGAAATCCGTTAAACCGGCTTCATTTGTCTGGTTTCTGTATATCATTTATTATTGCCTTGTCTTCCGGTTGTGGGGGGATGCCAGCTATTGTTGTGTTCAATGCTCTGAATTTTATTTAGACTGCACATCACCTGAGGCTGTACTGACGGAAAACCTTCTTACAGCTGCTACAGGATGTATATGGTGTATAGAATGCGTTTTCTACATTACCACTGACCTTATGAAGACTTTCGGAGGATGCCTTTTGAAGATAAATAATGGGGTTTGTATGCACTTCTACATGTTGTGTTGTACATTATGTCCTGTATATACTTTAAAATTATATTTCTAGAAGCTTAATGATTTTGTTGGTCCAATTAATAAAACATTTTGGATACGAAAGAGTCTTTATGTCTTCAATTACGTCTCGCGTTGGAAGGCGGTGTCCCTCAAGAATCACTTTCAGGACCACTTTTGTTCATCCTTCATATCGTTAATATCAAATAAAACCTGCTTTCTGCATTGTTTGTGAAACGTATTTGCATTTGTACACCTACATGATTCTCACTCAGATTAAGCTCATGTTGTAAAACCCAGCCTGGTTTCATCCCAGCTGCATACTTTTAACAGGCAGGTGAATGTTTGCTGGTCATCTGAGCTCTCAAGAGACTGTCGAAGTTAATTATTAAACAGCGGCGCACAATCCGTTAGCAGGACACAACTGTTTTGTTGCAAGGACGACGTTACAATGCCAGCTTGAGAGCTGCGGAAGGAACGGATAGAGCTCAAAATTGATACTTTGTGATTTTGTTGAGGCAAACCTATAATTTGCTGGGGTCAGATTAGAGTAGTGTTGTGTCTCTTATCCAGAAATTAAAAAAAAAAAAAAAAAAAAGCAAAAAAAAAACTCATGTGACAACTGTCTAATGCAAAACATCTAAATTGTACCAAGTAGTGTTGTCTAGTGCAAATATTTTGATACAGTTTAAAATAAGACAAAACTAATTTACAAGTAGCTTTCTAGCAAAATATAGGAACTTGTTTTAAGCAATTTCTTAATATTTATTTAAAAATACTAATTCCCATGGCAGAATATTTCACTAGTAGTAAGACATTTTTTTCCTAAAGGTGAAGTAATTTGCCATTGGAACTAGTACTTTTTTGAATCGAAAAAAAAAAACGTATACAAGGAGCAGAGAAACATACCTCTGACTCTTAATTTGTCACATTTCAACACAAAATCGATGAATTTTACAAGAATTGTATGTGACGATTTTAAAGGGGTAGATAGTTAGATAGTTTAAAGGGATAGATAGGGATAGTTTTTTGTTTTTCCTTACAAAAAACAGTTATTTCCATTTTTCCACCATCACCGTCTCACCCCGATTAGAGCTGCACGTCTGAGATGTAGGGTATGTCTTGTCTTCACCGTCGAGACAAACATTTGCCCATTTCTTTTTAAATCTAAAGCTCAGGTTCTGTTAGATTAAAAAAAAAGTCCACTCCACAGAATGACGCTTCCTCCACTATGTTTCACTTGTTCTCCATAAAGATATTTATGCCAATGTTGTCTTCATGATGGCACTTGCTCATTAATGTTCTCAAATTAAACATCGAGGCCATCACACTCATTCTGAAATTATACTAAACCAAGATGGACTATATTCACGAGCTGGGTAGCTTCTGAATGCAGATGGTTGCATAAGTGTTGAAAGGATATCAGGCTGAAATACTCTTAATTTGTTTATAGTGCTAAGCTTTTCAAATTATTTTGTAAAGACACATAAATGGATAAAAGTATAACTAGATGTTAGATGTTTGAATAGGCCACTTATGCAAGGCAATGTGTTGTATGTAAGCTACTAAATTAAGAGAAGTGGAGTACTCTCCTGATAGTGTTACACAAGTAGAATAAATTAAAAGAAAAGGCTGAAAGCCTGCCAGATTAAATAAGAATCTCTCTCAAACCTATTGCGACAACACACCTGTAATATGTATTGAAATTCTTCTGGACAGGAAGGCCCATACTGGTTCCTATGGGACTGTGAACAAAGAAAGTTTCTCATTAGAATTTACTTCATTTTTCAGAAAAGCAGTGTTCACAAAGACACAGCCACTCTTTAACAGACTCTTTAATTATGTTTCAGAGTAACATTTACGAATGATTTCATGACTTTTGTTACTAACGTGTCTAAAGGTTTTTTTTCTCGATCCCAATTAGCACCTTAAGTGAAATAAAACATGGAAATGTTAAGAACTTAACATTATATCAACAGAGATGCACATTAACGCTGTCTAAAGTCCCTGTGACTGCGGTTTTTTTTAACAGCTTATTCACACGTAGTTGATCATGGGACCCGTAGGCAATGATTAAAGAGATGTAATTGGCCCGATTCTGATGTAATTTGTCACTGATTGGCTACTAATACTGCCAATCTGCAATCCTGCCTTTTGATTGGTTGCCCCTCCTCTTTCCAGCCGTAGATTTGTCACCCCTCCCCTCGCCCTTCTTCCCGTTTAGCTGATAGCTCTTCGTGGATCCCGGCACCTGCTTGTCGTTTCTCCCGTTTATCCTTCCGCAGGCTCTCCCGACATGGATGATTTTGACATGCTGAACGCACCCGCCGCCGGAAACGGCGTGGGCTCGGAGGAGGACCCGGCCGCCGCTTTCCTGGCCCAGCAGGAGAGCGAAATTGCGGGGATCGAGAATGACGAGGGCTTCAGCATCCTGGACGGCGGAGAGGTGCCTTCGTCGCTCAGAGACTCTAACGGTTCGTCCCCGCTGCGCTCCCACGGAGGAACCGTGGCGCCTCCATTCAGGGTCATTTCGCTTGTCTCGTTACCGTTAACACCTGGGCTATTACGAAGATAGAAGACGTTAAATTATAAATGCTCGCGGTAACACAAACGGTAATTTGACACGGCGTTTGGTGCGCCTAGCTAAGAGCTAATGCTAACGGAGCTGTCATTTATTGGCTCTCGGGCTTTTATTTAAGACGTAATTTGAGTTCCTGAAACAGTCAAGAGCTTGTATTATGATGCGCTTTGTTTAATAAATGCAGTATTTGCCATCTTTTCATTCGGGCTAACGGCTTGTGATAACATCAGCTTTTCGTGGTCGTGTCATTCATTGCTGGTGGCCATTCACGCAAACATCACTAGCAGGAGGACATTCATGTCCGACGCAGCAACCTTTGACCTTAATGTTTCATTTTAACTGTTGGTTAGAAATGCTGACATGTCATACGTAAAACTGTGCACATATGAAACTCCTAAAGCGTTAAAAAATATGACTCCAAATGTTTTCCCTTTGTGTTTTTATATGTATGGTTTTATTTACTAACTTTTTGTTTTGCTTTTTTTTAATAGACGGCGCCATCAATGGAGAGTTTCACGGGGTAATACTTCCATTATTTTCTCCTATAAGTTTCTTTTTTTTTTCTCCCCCAGTTTGACTGCATTTGTAGCTACTTGTCTTTTAACCTTTCATTAAATTAATGTGTATTTAGCCTTTACTGGCTTCACAGTTTGGGCTTTGTCTCTTCCTGTGGTCTTGATTTTTTTTTTTTTTTTTTTTTTTTAAGGTGTGGGGGGGGTGGGAATAAAATGTTCTCCCTCAGTTTTTTTGTACCTGGAACCCAAACTTTATTGTGCATACCTTCACAAAATAAACGATGACTTTTGTTTTGAGGCTGACTACAGTCATAAAATCACTTTTGTTTTATTTTTTCAGTAGAACATGAGAAATTTTTATTTTTTTTTTCCAGTTTACATACAAAACTTTCCCAAAATGATTTGGAATGGACACTTGCTTGACATGAAACTTTGCTTAGTGACAAGTTTTGCACATTTCGGGGTGAAAAATCCCCAACCGTTTTCATCCAGTATTTTTTGTTTGTTTTCATGTGAAATGAAAAGGCCAAGTCGGAGATGAACGTAGTAATGCATATGGTAGAAAAAAATTCTCACAGACTTTCAGCTTTTACTACGTTATTACTTCAGTCTAGAGCCGTGTGCGTCGAGGTTCTTATAGTTGATGACTCGGGCTTCCTTTTCCTGTGCTGTCATTGCAACATTTTGTCCTTCTGCACCGTCAGGACTTCTAGCAGAGAGAAAGAGAGAGAAGCCCACTTTTAGGAACGGATGTGGTTCCTGCAAATGAGAAAGGACAAAAGATGCCAGATGCAGTGTTGGGGTTATAGTCAGGAGGAATATTTTAGACTTTCAGAAAGCTATTGAATAACACATATATATGTTTTCATCAGAACTTCATCGAAAAGTTGATGTTTTGTTTTGAAGGAAAGCAACGGCCCATCCGATGCCTATGCAGCCATTTCCAACGCCGACCGGCTGCAGGCTGAACCCGAAAGTCTCCGGAAGTGGAGGGAGGAGCAACGAGAAAGGCTGGAGGTGTTAGGTAGGTTCAGAGAGACGACTCGGTTCTGAAGCTGCTCGTGAACGACTTTCTGTGCTGCGACGAGTCAAAACCAGTAGTTCTTTTCTCGACATGGTGTGATCTGCACAGAGAAACTATCACTTCATTTCTCTGATTTGTTGATTATCTCTTAAAAGGCTGGAGTCATTTGTGTTTCATGTAGCCACATAGCTATGTGTTAATCATATTCACATCACAGTCATATTTACTCATAGTTACATCGACCTCCTACAACCTCCTACACAGAATTTGCAGCATGATTTATATGGCGAACCAGTCGATGTTTTTCGTTTTCCTATGTTGAATAAAAATGACACATCCAGATCAGTTTCTCACTGAAATAAAGTATGTGTTAATGCAACATTTTTGCTTTTTAGTGTCATACTTGTCAAAAGTTAGTCACATAGCAGAAATGCTTGAAAAGGCTTTGCTCAGGGTTCCTGTGCAGTCTGGAAAATACACTTTGGATATTTTATTTCTGTTGCCTAAAAGTTGAACCATTCCTTAATCCTTTTTCTTTCCTTCTATCCTTTTTCTTTTTCTGCACCATCCTTTCTTATGTTTTCTTCTTTCTTTCTGATTTTCCTTGTCTTTGTCCCTCATTCTTTGTGTTCGTCATTCTCTTGGGTTTTCTGTTTTTTCCACCTTCCATCTTTTCCTTCTGCTCTTCCTTATTTCCTTTAATCCATTCTTCCTCCTTTGCTCCTACCATCCCTCATTGGACTTGATCCTTCCTTGTCCTCAAAAAGAAAAACAAACAATGCTGAAGAGAACTAAAGAAAGACAATAAATACAGAAATAAACGACATTCCTTCCTTTCAATTGCAAAAACGCAGCGTGGGTGGAACCATAAGCTGGTTATTCTTTCAGGTTTTTTTTATACATGGAACAAATGATCAGAATCAAAATGGCAACATTCCCTCTTCTGAAACAAATGTCCTCACAGACATCAACTTACAAACTCCGC